GCTTTTCTGCCATCCTCTGCCTTTCCTGTCACCCATTTCCTTCAAGTTCCTTTCTCATACCCTTGAGCCTCCCAGACCCTTTTCTGGGTTGTTGGTGACTCCCCAGCATGGTATGCTGTTTCGGTCCCCAGGGAATTAGCCCAACTATTTAGAATTCTTCTTTAGGTCCCCAAGTCCTTCCTTTCTCTTGCTGCACCTTCTCTGCTGGGACTCTGCCTGGGCCTAATTAATCTCTGGAGCTAAAGAGAGGCAGGCTCAGAACATCTTAGCAAATGTGGTTGCACATTTTCTGAGCTAAGTAAGCTAGGCTGATTGCAATTGGAGTCAGCAGGAGAAGGGTCTTTGAGAAGGGGCCACGGGGGCAGGAGGGGGTTTTGGGGGCAGAAAGGTGGGAGTGGTGAGCAGCTGGGCAACCATGCCAGTCCTTGGGGAGTTGCCCCAGGAGCTGCAGCGACGGCTAGCTGAGCAGAGGAGTAAGTGGGCAACAGGTGGGACAGCCATGGCTGAGTCCGTGGTACATTCAGCTGTGATGGGCTTACTGCTCGTGACCAGTGAGGTAGGGAGACTAGAATACCTAGTGAGGGGAATAGGGTAGAGTTTGGGGATGAAACATGCATGGGATGAGGGAGGCAGTGGGCAGCATGCTGTTGAAAGGATGAAGTGCCAGCTAGGATATATAGGAACTTGCCGATTGTACTCTGACCTTCCAGGCTCATCACACACTGCTTCTGGGCTCTGGTCATGTTGGCCTTCGAAACCTGGGAAACACGGTGAGGGCCATTCTCTTTTTCCTCTCTAAAAGGAATGTGAAATGGTGCTGGGGCTGGGGAAAACCCGCAAGCTTGGGGAAGGCATGTGGAAGGAAAGCTCTGAAGCTCTTTTAAGGCTTTCTGGGCAATGGTCTGGAGAGACAACAGCAGTGTCCCTGCTGCTCCCCAGTGCTTCCTGAATGCTGTGCTGCAATGTCTGAGCAGCACTCGACCTCTTCGGGACTTCTGTCTGAGAAGGGACTTCCGGCAAGAGGTGCCTGGAGGAGGCCGAGCCCAAGAGCTTACTGAAGGTGGGACAACAATTCCTGCTCCCTCTGTTCAAGTCCCTTTTTCCATAGCCACTTGCAGGTCCATCTGCCAGTGCTGGTGGCCCTCAACCCTTAAATCTGGCAGTTGTATCTACTTTTCCCACTGCCTACTTTCCTGAAGGTTGTTTTTGCCCTCTTAGCCACCTGTTGCTTGCCTCTTCCAGACACTAACCTTTGTTTCCCTTCCCCACTCATATCCCAACAGCCTTTGCAGATGTGATCGGTGCCCTCTGGCACCCTGACTCCTGCGAAGCTGTGAATCCTACTCGATTCCGAGCTGTCTTCCAGAAATATGTTCCCTCCTTCTCTGGATACAGGTGGGAGAGCTGGAGGCTATGGCGTTTCTCTCTGGCCGTGTCTAGGGGTAGGGCCAAGCAAGGGCCTTGGCAGCACTGTTCTGAGCCTTGTGGTGTTCTTTATCCAGGAGGTGGGGACTGATATCTGGGCAGGGAATAGTGTCTGTGGACTAGGAGGGTGGTCAGTTGCCCATACTCTTTACCTGGCTGTAGCCAGCAGGATGCCCAAGAGTTCCTGAAGCTCCTCATGGAGCGGCTTCACCTTGAAATCAACCGCCGAGGCCGACGGGCTCCACCAATCCTTGCCAGCGGTCCAGCTCCCTCTCCACCCCGCCGAGGAGGGGCTCTGCTGGAAGAACCTGACTTAAGGTAAGGGTCGCTCCCCCTACCTCCTCTCCCCAGTAGTTTATCAGCAGCATTCACACTTCATAGAACTGAACTAGTGAAGATTGAAGATGTAGGGTCCAGGGAAACCCTTTAGTACAGAATATAGTGTGAGTAACTCTTCTAAGAAATGGAAGGAAGGAAGAGGGGGAGTCTATGGGGAGCAATGGAGGCAGAAGATCATGCTAGGGATGTCACCAAATCGAAGGAGAAGGGGATAATTAATTTACCAGTAGAGGAAGACAGCATATTCTTCCCTTGTGTACATTCCTTCCTTTTCCTCTCACCTTGGATTTCCCTAGAAAGTTCCCTGAGGCATTATTTCTTTGACTTTTCCTTGAAATTTAGGGAGGGAGCAGGGGTATGGGTGGGGTATAGGGCTTTGTGGGTCGTTTTGGTGGGCGTTGGGGGTGCCCAGTGTTCCCATTGTCTCACGGGTCCTTCCCACTTCCCTTGATCTGTGGTAGTGATGATGACCGAGCCAACCTAATGTGGAAGCGTTACCTGGAGCGAGAGGACAGCAAGATTGTGGGTATGGAACGGGGCAAAGCAATGAGGGAATATCAGTGTGTGAGGTGGTACAGGCTTGGGGGGAGGAAATCGATACTATCAAGGGGTATGGGAACAAGACTGGATGATGCAAATGTGAAGTTGTGTGAAGAGTTGGTTAGAGTGTTGGTAGTGGGAAAGGAAGGGTCAGGCAAAGGGGCAGGAAGAGATGGAAATCAAGAAATCATCTCATGGCATCCAACAATGACTTTTTCTCCTGTCCTTGTGCTTCTGTCTAGACCTGTTTGTGGGCCAGTTGAAAAGTTGTCTCAAGTGCCAGGCCTGTGGGTATCGCTCCACGACCTTCGAGGTTTTTTGTGACCTGTCCCTGCCCATCCCCAAGGTGGGATTCCAGAGGATTCCAGGGTGGATAGGACAAGGGCTCTGTGACCCAAGCCTACACACCTCCAAAATGTGGGAGGGAACCCTGTGGGTCTCTGGAGCAGAACTGAAGCCTGGATTGATTGAGAAGAGTTGGAAAAGGAAATTCAGAACATGTTGACCCTTTCTTCCCCTTTTCCCCCAGAAAGGATTTGCTGGGGGCAAGGTGTCTCTGCGGGATTGTTTCAGCCTTTTCACCAAGGAAGAAGAGCTAGAGTCGGAGAATGCCCCAGTATGTGGAGGTTCACAAGGGTTATAGTAAGGGTGGGAGACCTGGGGGGACTTCATGTGGATAAAAGGGATTGCATGATGCCTTAGAATGGGGAATCATATTTATGTATCTGGGTTTATGTAGGAGTCTCAGACGCGTTCTAGTACTCCTGGGGCAAAGGCGAGATGCCAAGAGGATCCAGCTGTAATTGGGAGCACACTAAGTTTGTTTGTGGATAGGGGTGTCAGAAAAGCCAATTGAGGTTAGGAGCACATTAACCTAACACTGTTTGCCATTTATTCAGGTGTGTGACCGATGTCGGCAGAAAACTCGAAGTACCAAAAAGTTGACAGTACAAAGATTCCCCCGGATCCTCGTGCTCCATATCCTAATCTTCAGATTCTTTCTTCTCTTGGGGTACCTCCCATACATTCTCTTTCCTCACATCTCCATGTTTCCAGAGAATTGAATTTTCCTTAGGAAAAGGCTGCCACCCACCTTTCCACAAGCCACTCTGCGCGTGTGTTGGGAGGGGGAAAGAACAGCCTTCAGGACAGAAGTCCCCCTCAGAGGCCCTCTGCCTCCCAAATGCTCCTTAACCAGGGCTTAGATCTGAATCGATTTTCTGCCTCCCGAGGCTCCATCAAGAAAAGTTCAGTAGGTGTAGACTTTCCGCTGCAGCGACTGAGCCTAGGGGACTTTGCCAGTGACAAAGCCGGTGAGTCTGGTGGGGAAGGTTCTAAGGAGCTGAAGGAGTGGGGGCACAGCTCTGATTTTAGAACTTGATCATCTCCAACCTCGCAGGAAGTCCTGTATACCAGCTGTATGCCCTTTGCAACCACTCAGGCAGCGTCCACTATGGCCACTACACAGCCCTGTGCCGGTGCCAGACTGGTTGGCATGTCTACAATGACTCTCGGTGAGAAGAGCCTCCTATTTACATCCTGCCCCATTCCCACTGCAGCCCTGACTCTCTCCCCTTCTGTGAAGGAGAGCAGAGTGCCAGGTGAAAGGAGAGGTGGAGGTCTTGCCTGATCTCTTCTTGGATGCTCTGATGCAGGGAGGAGGGGGTAAACCGAAATGGCCACAACCTGTTCCCGATCTCCTTTTTCCTAGTGTCTCCCCCGTCAGTGAAAACCAGGTGGCGTCCAGCGAGGGCTACGTGCTGTTCTACCAACTGATGCAGGAGCCACCCCGGTGCCTGTGATGCCCTATCTAAGCCCTGGCACCTGTGAAGCCCTTTGAACACCCTTAAGCCCCAGGCTCCCCATTTACCTCAGAGACGTCTATTTTTGTGTCTTTTTAATCGGGGAGGGGGGAGGGGGTGGTCGTAGCTCCATTATTTTTTTTATTAAAAAGTACCCTTCCACCTGGAGGCTCCCTTGTCTCCCAGCCCCATGTACAGAGCTCACCAAGCCCTTGCCCATGTACAGCCCCCAGACCCTCTGCAATTTCACTTTTTGTGAATAAATTTATTAAGAAAAAAATGATGTGCTTATTTGTATTTTTGCTTAGGGGGTGAAACAGGACTGGGCTAAATTGGAGCCTTCCTGGGACCCAGTTCCCTCTGTAACAGGTGGGGGCGCTCTTAGAGCCGAGGGGGAAGGTTTCGGGGATGGTGCTGGACCCGGACCTGTGCGCCCCAGCAGTGAAGGTTAAGTACTGGGAGGAAAAGAGGGAAGGCACACTTGAGTGAGGCTGCGGGGAGGCCTGAACTAGAGTGCAAGCTCTGGGGCGACGGGTTTGGTGGGCGATGGGGGCTGACGCTGTTGACAAACACGGTACGTTGCCGGGCGGCCCTAGCTCCCGCAGGCCCAGTCTGTTGCTAACATCAAGGAGCTGTTTATGGAACCGCCTCCCCGTGGACCGGTCTCGTGTCCCTATCTACTCTCCCTAGAACCAAGCTTCTGGAGCCTTCCCTCCAGGGTTGTCACCCTAGCTGGGCGTACGAAGCTTGTGCTAGGGAATGCTAACTCCCCAGCGCTCGCCGCAGCGGCCCTAGGGACGGCAGTGCCGGGTACGGCCGCTCACTTCCACCTTGGCGCTGACGCCGTTAACCTCCGACTCTTCCAGCGGCCGTCGCTCCGCCTCTGCCAGTTCAGTGATTTCATTGGTGAACGTGATCCGGGGCCTTCCAGCGCTCGCCAATCCAGAAGTAGGAGTGATAGGGTCAGGCGTGTGCCGCGAGAATAGAGTGGACGGAAAGTCGGAGAGACCGAAAGGGTTGGGGGTGGGAGTAGCGGATTAGAAGCACTTGTTGGCCTACCTAGGCGTGGGAAGCAGAGCGCATCAGAACTCAGGCGTGCTGCCCGCCGCCGGAGTCCTGCGAGGGCAGATAGCTAGGGTGTGGCCCTTATCTGCACCCAGCGGAGCGCCGGCGGGGTACGGTCTTAGGACCTCGACCTCCTCCCTCATTTTCTCTCATCCCTACCTCTTGTGGGTGAGTCCTGGCCCCTGGACGGGGACCTCAGTGTTCCACCAGCCCATCCGTGCACGCATAGTTTCCCCTAAAGCAATGAGTGGCCGGGGGTAGAACTCAAAATCGGCGGGGCTTCTGGAGCGCAGGATACCCCCGGTCTGCCTGTCCATATCGCCCCCTTTCCCCTAGGTTTCCCCATGGGCCGGACCGTGGTCGTGCTGGGCGGAGGCATCAGCGGCTTGGCCGCCAGTTACCACCTGAGCCGGGCCCCCTGTCCCCCTAAGGTGAGTGTTCCACTTGTGCCAGAGGGAGCTTCATTTAATGCCCTTTTCCCATTTCCATCAAAAGCTAGATGGATCCTGGCCCGCCGAATGTGCCTCTTCCCCTCCCTCGTGACCTCTCACCGGCGGCTACAGGAGGTGCTGCAGTGTCTCTCTCTCTTGTCGCCAGGTGGTCCTGGTGGAGGGTAGTGAGCGTCTGGGAGGCTGGATTCGCTCCGTTCGAGGGCCGAATGGCGCTATTTTTGAGCTTGGACCTCGGGGAATTAGGCCAGCGGGAGCCCTAGGGGCTCGGACCTTGCTCCTGGTGAGAGGCTTGTGGGTGTCTAGGAGAGGCTGTGGAGGGGCTTTCACTGGGGAATAGAGTTTAGGAGAGGAAGTATGTTTGGTGGGTCAGACCTTCCCTTAGTTTCTCCTCTTCTGAGGGCATGTGGAGAGCAGGTTTCTGAGCTTGGCTTGGATTCAGAAGTGCTGCCTGTCCGGGGAGATCACCCAGCTGCCCAGAACAGGTTCCTCTACGTGGGCGGTGCCCTACATGCCCTACCCACTGGCCTCAGGTAACACCAACACCTCCTTACTGTACCCCCTTTTGCTATGCCCTCATCCTCATATGCCTCCCATATATTTCTTTATCTTCCTGTCAACCTTCCCAGCAAAAGGGAGCCAAATGAGTGAAAATGACCCTAGCTCCTGGAGCTGGGGAGGTATGTCAGGAGCCTCCCCCTCACTATGCCTTTCCCCATGCAGGGGGCTACTCCGCCCTTCACCGCCGTTTACCAAACCTCTGTTTTGGGCTGGACTGAGGGAGCTGACCAAGCCCCGGGGCAAAGAGCCTGATGAGACTGTGCACAGTTTTGCCCAGCGCCGCCTTGGACCTGAGGTGACACCTGCTCAGAGGCCCCAAACCTCTTCCCTCCTAAACCAGCTTCAGAGCTCTCTATTCGAACCTACCACCTAGGGGCTCTTCTGTATCACTTGGGGATGCCCTCTTCTCTTCATACCCCACCCCCTCATGCTTCCCAAAACTCATTATTGGGAGTGAAGGCCTTCACTTCCATCCTTCTGTCATAGTGTGAATGTTCCCCAACCCAAACCCTATCCCACCCCCATTCCCTACCAAATAGGGGCTGTGGAAATGAGTCAGTGCAGATTATTCTTTGGCTCCTCAGTCCCAGTCTCACCCTCAAGGTGGCGTCTCTAGCCATGGACAGTCTCTGCCGTGGAGTGTTTGCAGGCAATAGCCGTGAGCTCAGCATCAGGTCCTGCTTTCCCAGTCTCTTCCAAGCTGAGCAAACCCATCGTTCTGTATTACTGGGCCTACTGCTGGGGCCAGGTGAGGGGGATTGGTTCAAAGGGTGAAGATATTAAGGACTGCCAAAGTGAGGGACGGGGGACAAGGGGTGCTATTCAATGATTTTTTTTTTTTTTTTTTTTTTTTTTTTTTTTTTTTTTGACGGAGTCTTGCTCTGCCTCCCAGGCTGGAGTGCAGCAGTGCAATCTCAGATCGGCTCACTGCAACCTCTGCCTCCCAGGTTCAGGCAATTCTCCTGCCTCAGCCTCTTAAGTAGCTGGGATTACAGGCACCCACCACTACCCTCAGCTAATTTTTAAGTACAAACATGTGCCACCATGCCCGGCTAATCTTTGTATTTCTTTTGTAGAGAAGGAGTTTCACTATGTTGGCCAGGCTGGTCTCGAACTCCTGACTTCAAGTGATCCACCTGCCACGGCCTCCTAAAGTGCTGGGATTACAGGTGTGAGCCACCACATCCAGCCTCGATGATCCTTTTTTGTTTGTTTGCAGCTGAGTCTCACTCTGTCACCTGGGCTGGAGTGCAGTGGCACCATCTTGGCACACTGACACCTCTGCCTCCCAGGTTCAATCGATTCTCCTGCCTCAGCCTCCCAAGTAGCTGGGATTACAGGCACCCACCACTACCCTCAGCTAATTTTTTGCATTTTTAGTAGAGACAGGGTTTCACCATGTTGGCCAGGCTTATCTCAAACTCCTGACCTCATGATTCGCCTGCCTAGGCCTCCCAAAGTGCTGGGATTACAGGCATGAGCCACCGTGCCCAGCCCCTCGATGATACTTCTTTGCTTCCTCTGCAGGGCGGACCCCACAGCCAGACTCAGCACTTATTCGCCAGGCCTCGGCTGAGCGCTGGAGCCAGTGGTCACTTCGTGGAGGTCTAGAGATGTTGCCTCAGGCCCTTGAAACCCACCTGACTAGTAGGGGGGTCACTGTTCTCAGAGGCCAACCAGTCTGTGGGCTCAGCATCCAGGCAGAAGGGCACTGGAAGGTAGGGGAACCCCTGGAGTGTAATTAACCTGTCATCTTTATCCGAGTTGTTTAACTAGGCCAGGGCCAATAGGACTGGAATTCCTCATTGTTTTTGTGCCTTAGAAGCTACTTAGACATGGGCTGCCCCAGAATCCTAGATCCTATTTGTGTGACTCTTCCTCAAAGACCCTATGCAAGTCTGTAGATAGAAGTAGTACTTATAAGTGGCTTAGAGTTAGGGGAAAGAACCCAGCTTTGCTGGGCATGCTGGCTAACGCCTGTAATCCCAGCACTTTGGGAAGCCGAGGCATGCAGATCACCTGAGGTCAGGAGTTTGAGACCAGCCTGACCAACATGGAGAAACCCCGTCTCTACTAAAAATACAAAAAAATTAGCCGGGTATGGTAGCACATGCCTGTAATCCCAGCAACTCAGGAGGCTGAGACAGGAGAATTGCTTGAACCCAGGAGGCAGAGGTTGTGGTGAGCCAAGATCATGCCATTGCACTACAGCCTGGGCAACAAGAGTGAAAGTCCGTCTCAAAAAAAAAAAAGAACCCAGCTTTACTGAACATTTCGGAACAGCCACACTGGCCTGTCTGTTCCACTTCCTGGAGTACACAGAGGAGTGATTCTTGTGAAGTCTATACAGTCACCCAGTCTCTTCATCTTGGGTCAGTATGCAGTCTTCCTGGCCACATGGGTGCCTGGGAAACTGAGAGTGAGGCATCAGAAGTCTCTTTTCACTCATCAAATTCTCATTTTCTGGGTCTCTCAAATGTTTTCATTCTCTCAGGTATCTCTAGGGGACAGCAGTCTGGAGGCTGACCATGTTATTAGTGCCATTCCAGCTTCAGGTAATGGGATAGCCACCTTCCCCTTCCCCCACCCCTACCAGTGAGAGGCAAAAGCTGTACCTTCTTGGGCCAGCAGGACCACACCATGCTCCTGAACTGATTATCTCTATGGGAGTCTAATCCCAAAGAGGACTGACAACTGTAGTGGGAATGCCTCCTGAATCAGGCCTCTGCCTTACCTCTAGTGCTCAGCAAGCTGCTGCCTGCTGAGACTGCACCTCTGGCTCGTGCCCTGAGTGCCATCACTGCTGTGTCTGTAGCTGTAGTAAATCTGCAGTACCAAGGAGCTCATCTGCCTGTCCAGGTATGATAAAGAAGGGAAGGAGAGGCTGAGTGCAGTGGCTCACACCTGTAATCCCAGCACTTTGGGAGGCCAAGGTGGCTGGATCATGAGGTCAGGAGTTTGAGACCAACCTAGCCAACATGGTGAAACCCCATCTCTGTGAAAAATATAAAAATTAACCAGGCGTGGTAGCACACAACTGTAATCCCAGCTACTTGGGAGGCTGAGGCAGGAGAATCGCTTGAACCTGGGAGGTGGAGGTTGCAGTGAGCTGAGATTGTGCCATTGTACTCCAGCCTGGGTGACATAACAAGACTCGGTTCCTCCCTCCCACCCCCCCAAAAAAAAGGAGAGACAGGCTCAGCTAGAGCCCTTTCCTTCTGACCCATGAATGTCCTTCTTTCTAGGGATTTGGACACTTGGTGCCATCTTCAGAAGATCCAGGCGTCCTGGGAATTGTGTATGACTCAGTTGCTTTCCCTGAGCAGGATGGGAGCCCCCCTGGCCTCAGAGTGACTGTGAGAGGAGGAAACTTTGCCTAGTGGCATTTCCAGAGGGCTCCTCTGTGCTCTAGTATAGGCAAGGCCAGACTGATCAGTGCTATATTCCCTCCCTAGGTGATGCTGGGAGGTTCATGGTTACAGACACTGGAGGCGAGTGGCTGTGTCTTATCTCAGGAGCTGTTTCAACAGCGGGCACAGGAAGCAGCTGCCACACAATTAGGACTGAAGGAGCTGCCGAGTCACTGCTTGGTCCATCTACACAAGGTAAGTTGGGATAAACTTCTCTCAGCTCTCCGTTGAAGGCCTTGAACACAGGGAACATTTGCCACTGTATGTCAGCCAAGGCCTGGGGCATCAATAATAAACTTTCCCTGCATCCTCTCTTCTCAGAACTGCATCCCCCAGTATACACTAGGTCACTGGCAAAAACTAGGTAAGTTGGGAAAATAGCTGGGTTGAGGGGGGCCAAGGGCATCAGGCCCCCAGCTATAACATTCCTTTCATGCTTTCCTTCCAGAGTCAGCTAGGCAATTCTTGGCCGCTCACAGGTTGCCCCTGACTCTGGCTGGAGCCTCCTATGAGGGGGTTGCTGTTAATGACTGTATAGAGAGTGGGCGTCAGGCAGCAGTCAGTGTCATGGGCACAGAACCTAACAGCTGATCTCCAACTCTCACTCATGAAAATAAAAGTTGCTGGAGCTTGACTTGGTCTGGCTGTTCTATCACCTATAGGCATAAAAATGTAGGGGGGAGCAGAGAGGCAAAGTGTGCCTGGGATGCAGAAAGCAGAAGCAGATGCGAGACAAAGTCCTTTATTAGAAAATATATCAAAATCCCAGCCCCCTGAGCCAGGACCAGAAGAGGGAGCTATTCCAGCATGGGCAAAAAATGCCCAGGGAGGGGCTTCCTTCACCAAACTACTTCCCAGGAACCATAAATAGAATAAATATTCACAGAGGTCCCAGGAGAAGCCAGATCACTCTTCTCTCCATGAAGAGGAAGGGGCTTGGGGTCCAGCCCTGCTCCTACCCTAGGGGCAGGGACTCCCAGGAATCGTCACATAAAATCATGACATCAAGGATTCACAGTCATAAGCCCTACAGGAGACCCTAGAAAGAGGGGCCCCCTAGGTCTAGAGGAGCCCAGCTCCAGTCCAGCAGTGTGGAGAGACCCCTGGCTCCTAACACGGCACCAGAGTTCAGTTCCCCCACAGCCCTCCGAGAACAGTGAGGAGCTGAGGGTGGGGAGAATACAACCCTGTGAGTTCGGTTTCATGATTAAGGTAGGCAGGAAGGAGGAGTCAGTGTGAACCTCGGAGGGCTGTGTGGTTGGCAGTAGGTGGAGGCCCAGGCCTGGCTGGGGGCTGGCGTTGCAGCATCTCTTGACGGAAGGCTTGGGAGGAACCAGGTGGGTAACGGGGCCCAGAGGGAGCCCGAGGACCCCGAGGGTCAGTCCCAATGTCTGCTGTGATGTTGGTATAAAGAGGACCCAGCTCTCGAGCCAGCAGTCGGTATGTCAGTGAGTTCATACCATCTTGCGTCCAGGAATTCTGGGTACGGACCAGGAGGTCAAATCTGAGGGTTAGAAGTTGGAGACTAAGACACAGAAAGGAAGAGCCAGAAATCTAGGGACTTTTAGGAGTTTCCTGGCTAGGGGTACAGAACCCTGAGGATCCAGTAACAATTACCAGGCAGTCCTTCCTTCTTCCTACCTGTGGGGATTTTCCTCGTTGCCCTTATCTCCTCGATGCTTCACCATCTTATAGTGCCCTACAGATGTGGGGGGCCGAGAGATCTTCATCCCAGCCAGGCGCACCCTATGGGAAAAGTGAGGGGATCATGGAGGATCCAGAGTGCAAACAACTATTGCTCAGTAAGCCAAAAAAAAAAAAAAAAGAGCCCAGGGCTGCTGAAGTCAAACAGAAAGAAGGAAACGGGTGAAGAGAATGTAAAAGCTGGATGTATCCAAGTCCTCAGGGCCCAGTGCCAGTCACCCTGGAGCCTTTAAACAGTTGGCAAAGGTAGGTTTGCACCTCCTCCCCTGGCTTCCTAAATGGCTCCTAGGAGCTGCCCTTGCAGTCTAGGAAGGACACAGAGAGAGGCCATTCTGTCAAAAGGATAAGAAAAGACTAGGAGTTGCAGATCCAAGCTCAGCAATTCCTATTTAGAATAGTGACTGAGCTACCCCAAATTCTCCCACATCCCCCATGTTAAGAAAAAGGTAAGCCAGGTGCAGTGGCTCACACCTGTAGTTCTAGCACTTTTGGATGCCGAGGCAGAAGGATCACTTAAGGCCTGGCGTTCAAGACCAGCCTGGAAAAATAATGAGACCCTGTCTCTAGGGGAGGAAAAAAAAAAAAAAACCTCGCAAGAAAGAGGCCAGGCATGGTGGCTCACGCCTGTAATCTCAGCACTTTGGAGGCCAAGGTGGGCGGATCGCCTGAAGTCAGGAGTTCGAGACCAGCCTGACCAACATGGTGAAACCCCATCTCTACTAAAAATACAAAATTAGCTGGGCATGATGGCAAATGCCTATAATCCCAAATACTGGGGAGGCTGAGGCAGGAGAATCGTTTGAACCTGGGAAGCAGAGGTTGCAGTGAGCTGAGATCGCGCCATTGCACTACAGCCTGGGCAACAAGAGCGAAACTCTGTCTCAAAAAAAGAAAAGAAAAGGGTAGAACCAGGTAATCAGGACCTTGAAAGAAACAAAATCCACCTCTGACACAGAAGCATGGCGTGCAGATGGCCTGGGAAGTAACTAGAAGAATATTTATATACATTTACAATTCATAGGGTGCTTCACACACATACAGAGGATGAGAATTCGCAGAGATGTCATCACAGAGGACACAGGGGGAGGGTAGGCAATTGGTCCTGCATACCAAGCCCAAATATTCATACCACAGACATGAAATTGGGCCAGCTGAGGCTGAAGGTCAGAGTGTTTCACATGCTTAAAATGAGTTGGCCCTGTGCCAATGGCACAGGCCTTTTACAAAGTGACTCTGGGATACAATGGAGCAGAGTCCTTCTCTCCTAACCCCATAGGAAGTGGTCTGGCTGGAACCCTAGCAGAAGGCAAGACTAAACTGTCTCTGGGCCGCTTTCCAGCTCTGGAATCCAGTGATACCATTTCCTATTGATCTTATGTCCTCTCCCAAGAACAAACTAATAGGAGACTGAGGGATGACACAATGGGCAGCAGCATGCAAGCCCGACCTGGGTATCCTGAAAAGACTAAGGGAAATAAATGGGCTCAGTGCAAGACCAGGGAGCTAAAGGTTAGTGTTGAAGGACTATGGCCAGAGGTGGTCTTAGAGGACAGGAATCCAGACTGAGCTCAGGTGGGAGGGGGTGGCAGGAAGTCTGACCTGGTAGCAATGTCATCATCCTCACCACCCCAGCCCCAGTATTCATTGGGGAAGCCATTCATCTTCAGGTACTGGTCAGGAGTAAGTGCCGAGACTCCTCCGAAGTACTGGGGGTACGGGAGGCTGGGGAGAGAAAGATTCTTGCATGCCACAAGTCTTCTGGGGAGACATCCCCAACCACAATCCCCTTGGCTCTCCTCCTTCCACTGGACAGTGGGCTTCCCTGTTTCCCAGCACCCTTCCATGCCCTCTACCTGTATCCAAACTTGTTCATAGCAACAGCAACATGGCGGGGTCCCCGGGGGTCACACACATACAGATTGTGGTCATTTTCTGGCAAGAGGTCCACATCGTGCAAGAACAGGCAGTCCCACTCTTCATCACGCAAGGCCTCTCGCACCCCAACATTCAGCAGTTTTGCCCTGTTAAATGTTCCATTTCCAGCCTGGAAGATAATGGAGGGGGACCAGACTATGTCTGTAGGTGGCATGGAGAAGAGGGGGCTAAAGAATAAAAGTAAAAAGAAGGAAATCAAAGCGGGGTGGAGGGAAAGGAGAATGAAAAAGAAAGACTATCTTTTTATTTTTCCATTTAGTCATTTGACAAATCTAGCTTGTGTATTGGTATGGGCCTGATACATAGATGCTGCTGTCTAGCATTTAATCCTGACAACTGGCAACAAACAATGGTGTGGTGTGGAACAGGTGGTGTAGTAGGTATCTTCTGCTCTTTCCTCATGTTAGATGGTTAAGTTTCTTGCTCAGAGTCATATATGTAAGAAGTGACAGAACAAGAATTTTAGCCCTATTGTGTCCAATTCTAAATATGCACAAAGCATTCAACAAAGGAAAAATCACAGAAAAGTGTAGGACAGTGGGAACAACCTAAGCAGATTAAGGAGAGGTATGGGACTGACAGATTTGGAAGAGCGGTGCCAGGTGCCTGTCCACACTCGACAGTCTGGCCTTGTTAAAATTATTCCAGGGACCCATTAGATGTGAGTGGAATGGCATGTGCTTGAGGAGTCCTTAGAAGAAAGAAAGTAAAAATGAAGTGGAGATTGGGGGTACCTGGTGGATGACATAGATGCCATAGGCAAGCTGCTGGCGCTGCAAGAACGGGTGCAGGTGGTAGAGCAGCAGGCGCAGGTGGTGCTCCCGGGCACGATGGGGCACAATGATGGCTGTCCGGGAGCGGGGCTCACACCCTGCAGGGCGGTACCGGCCCCCTGGTTCTACCCGGGGATTCCGCTCCACAATCTCTGCCAGTGATGGCACTGGGCTAAAGGACACCGACACAGGACCCACTGTTGGGAAGGAATGGCAAGTAGAGGGATCAGAGGGGTAAAGAGAAAAGAATCAAACTAGGGTCTGGGAATACTTCTGGCACTGGCAGTCTGGTTCTGGGGTTAAGTTCTTAGCGCTCACTCAGAAATCTCACATGCCTTGAGTGCCCTTCATTGGGACAGCTCTACAAAGGCTGGAAGGTGTAGGATCCTTAGCTAGCCTACTTTTCTCATTTTAGGGTTGCATAACTTTCTCCTGTCTCACAGGGTTGGAAGCTACAGTTGAAGGCTGGAGAGAACAAGACTTGCAACTAATTAAACCAGGGCTCATCTACAAGGGAAACAATTTCTAGCCTGGGCCAGGAAAAGCCCATAAAGGGGCAGGCAGTAGAAAGTGTGAGATGACTCATGCCTGTAATCCCAGCACTTTGGGAGGCCGAGGCAGGTGGAACACGAGGTCAGGAGCTCAAGACCAGCTTGGCCAAGATAGTGAAACCCCATTTCTACTAAAAATACAAAAATTAGCTGGGCGTGGCAGTGCCTGCCTGTAATCGCAGCTACTCAGGAGGCTGAGGCAGGAGAATTCCCTGAACCCGGGAGGCAAAGGTTGCAGTCAGCTGCGATTGCGTCACCGCACTCCAGCCTGGGTGACAGAGCAAGACTGGCTCTCAAAAAAAAAAAAAAAAGTGGAAACGCAACAGTCTAATCTAAACTCCGAATTCAGAGTCCACTCTATCTCAACCTCAGCCTATCTTCAGAGTCCATTCTCCTCTTCTAAGTCCCACTCCTGCCACTTCATGCCTCCCTGTCCCCAAGCCTCCTGTTCCCACACCTTGTCCTTCCTTTCACAACCTCCTCCTGCACTTACCTAAGAGAGGAGATCGTTCTGGACAGTAGGGCAGATCTTGAGGAGCTGGAGGACCCCCTGGGGCCCCAGGTAGGTGACTGAGGTTACTGTAGACATCACGAGGATGAGAATAGTCAAATGTTGGCCCCTGATCTCGGCCAAATAGGGCACTGAGACTTCGGAAGCCCCCCAATGACAGGTACATCATGACAGCCAGCTGGGAGCCCACAAGCAGGGCCAGCGTGCAGGGCCGCTCCAGCAGCCTCCGCAACATCCTGGGGGTGAGATCTAGGAAGGGAAAGGGGAATTCTAGGGGTAGGCAGGAAGAGAGCAAGCCAGCAGAGAGGTCAGTGGGTAGGGATGAAGGTGGTGCCAGGGGTAAAGGGGAAAAAGAGGCAGAGAACAAAGTCACAGAAGGGAGCACACAGGTGCACAGTCATGCAAGGAAACAAAACAATGTCACCACCAGTAGCCCTACCACCTGTCACTTCAGCCCAAGTTTCACTCTCTTCTACCTCCCCCCAAACCACTCCTACCATCTACTGTCAGTCCTCACCCCCACGAATGTTTACATCATTCAAGTCTCATGTTCATTTCAGAAGTCTCTAGAATACCCCTCTTCCAATTTTAGAGGGGAAGAGATAGACTCACCTAGGTTCAAGCTGTCTTCTTGGGGATCATGGGGGCTCCAGGGGGTCCCGGGGGGACAGAGATGTGAGGCATTATCTAAAATTGGAAATGTCACAGAGGGCAGAGAAAGGCTCCATCTAGCACTCCAGCAGCAAATCTGGGACCAGCTGGAACAGAAGTGGTAAATGATAACTAGCCACCTGCACCGCCAGAGACCAGGATCAGGGTGAAGCCGGTTTCCCAGCAGGGGAAGTGAAGCAAAGTGGTTGGAAAGGAAGAGGAGGAGCAGGAGATGGTAGGTCCCTTGCCTCTCTCCCGTGCTACTCTGGAATGACAGTGTCAGGTTGATACTTAATCACCCCCGTACCTCCATCCCAACAGGACAGACTTGTTTGGGGAGTGGGGATAGGACAGCTAATGGAAACAGTTTTCCCCCAGACCAAGAACCCGTTCAAGTGACGACAGGGTCATGACAGGACCGTGGAATGGACTAAGGAGTACCCAGGGCGAAGGAGGAAACAGGCTCCTTCCGTTCTTCCTGTGCCTGGGCGCCAGCTCCTCAGGTGCAGAGACCATGACCACCTGGGAGCTGAAAGCAAACAGCCCCGGAGCTCGGCGGAGAGTAAGGTGTGGGTGGCGTCCTCTACCTTTTTTTTTTTTACCTTTCCCCCGTTCTGGGGGTTGGGAGGAGGGTTACTGCTGAAGAGAAGGGGAGAGGAAGAGCAGGGGCAGAGACGGTTGGGGTGGGTGGAAGGGCTCACCTGGAGGGGCGTGGTCCGCGCTATACAGGGGGTTCAAACCCAGCTCTTTCGGAGCACGCCCATCCCATCTCAGTCTCCAGCTTTTGCCCTACACTGCAACGTGAGCCCGCCCGGCCCCCGTCCTTACTTCCACCTGGGACCCCATCCCTGCTCAGGCTCGTCTCCAGGCATTACTCAAACTTCTCACCCTCTCGACTGCCCGAACCTTTATCCCAGACCTCCGCCCCCACGCGTCCCCAGTGTACATACCCAGTCTTTTACTGCCTGTCGTCACCGCCACCCCGGCAGCCGGGCAAGCATCACTGCCGCCATCTTGGAAGCGGGCGCCGCGGAGGCGGAGCCTCGCGTCACGGGGCGTGGCCTCGGGGCGGAGCAACCCGGGCTGGGGAGGCACAGGGTCTGAGGCACCGCGTGGCCGGGGGCTGGTGCGGGAGCGGTGCCGGGCACTGTCCGCCTTGAACGCATCGTGGGCTAGCCCTTGGGGAGCGGGAGTGGGAACTCAGGTCCACTCCGCAGACTGCTAGTGGGATTTCATTTCCTGCCCCTCAGATTTATGAAAGCAGAAGCTCAAGCCCTTCCTTTTCCTCTGGGCCGAGACTGATCAAGAGGCCAGTGAGCCGGTTTCTGGTGCTCCCGCTGACCTCATTATCACCCTGGGGTTTGCTGAGCCCTCTCCCAGTGTCAGTGGCACCCCTGCAGCCTAGTGCCACTTCGTATCAATTGTTCCTCACGCAGGCTACAGCGTTGCGGACTGCTCTAGCGCATTTTTGTATTCCCATGGAATCTCGCAGGCCTGGAAATAAAAAAACGATTAATAAAATAACGAAACATTGAATGTGGAGGGAAAGGCAGAGTCTTCTTTAAAGTAAAATTGTGTTTCCCCAGATATTAGAGTAAAATGGATGCTCTGCTCTGTTAATATGAAATATGTTTACCTTACGACAAACACTTGCCCCCGGGTATAAATTGTGTTCCTTTGAAGCAGATGTTCACGCTGAAGAAACAATCAGAGACTTGAATAACTCACAGAATCTGCCTCAGAAAGCCCATGATATTGTGTATCTTGTATGGAAGGAGGGATGTAAACAATATAATGTGATAAATATGCCGGCCTACAAGTGGCAACTCATTCGTACATGGAGATGCCAGAAAGGCTTCCCAGAAGTGACGGCTAATGGGAAATCTGAAGGACTTATGTAGTATCTCCTTCTGCTTTAAAGAGTCTGTTTTCATGGAAGTTATTTTACAATTCAGTATAGGTAACTGATCTGCATGCAAATTCTGTCCTGTCTGGTAGAGGTTCAATTAACCTGCTACTCCCCACGTTGTGGGAAAAAAAGGCAGCTTGGAGCTGGGCACTGTGTTCGCGCCTGTAATCCCAGCACTTTGGGAGGCCGAGGAGGGTGGATCACTTGAGGTCAAGAGTTCGGGAACAGCCTGGCCTACATGGTGAAACCCTGTCTCTACTAAAAATACAAAAATTAGCTGCTCATGGTGGCACATGTCTGTAATTCCAGCTACTTGGGAGGTTGAGGCAGGAGAATCACCTGAACCTGGGAGGTGGAGGTTGCAATGAGCGAAATCTAGATACTACACTCCAGCCTGGGTGACAAAAGTGAAACTCCATCTCAAAAAAAAAGAAAAAGCAGTCTGGGCCTCAATTTTCATATTCATTTCTGTTTTCCTGATCCATAAATATGTCTATTCTCTTGATTTTCTCTTGTATTATAACATCTGCTAGTTGTTTTGTTTGTTTGTTTGTTTTTAAAGATGGGGTTTCACCATGATGGCCAGGCTGGTCTTGAACTCCTGACCTCAGGTGATCCACCCACCTCAGCCTCTGAAAGTGCTATGATTACAGGCGTGAGCGACTGCACCCAGCTCAACATCTGCTAGTTTCTTCATGAGTTAAGTAAAATCGACACGTGTTCATTTTTCTCTTAATTTCTTTTTTCCTTCCTTCTCTCTCTCCTTCCTTCCTCTTTTTTCCTTTCCTTTCCTTTTCTTTTTTCCAAATACCCAGGCTTCAAGGCAAATGTGTTCTTTTTATTTTTTATTTTTATTTTTTCTGAGATGGAGTCTTGCTCTGTTGCCCAGTCTAGAGTGCAGTGGCTGCAACCTTCGCCTCCCAGGTTTAAGTGATTCTCCTGCCTCAGCCTCCTGAGTAGCTGGGATTACAGGCACCCACCACCATGCCTGGCTAATTTTTGTATTTTTAGTAGAGATGGGGCTTCACCAGCTTGGCCAGGCTGGTCTTAAACTCCTGACCTCATGATCCACCCGCCTTGGGCACCCAAAGTGCTGGGATTACAGGTGTGAGCCACTGCGTGCAGCCTACGTATTCATTTTGATATTGACAAAGACCCTCTCCTTAATGAAACTTTCAACAGGCTCCTCTGAGACCTCTTTTTGACTAGGTCTTGTCCTTTGGCCCTGTCTTGGACCTGCCTAGCCAATTATAGCAAGAATCCTGCCAAATCAGTTTAGGGATAATTCCCTGCCCACTTCTCCATCCACCCCTGATATCTGATCTATCTCATCACCCTCACTTGCCTTCAGGAAAGATCCTATTACGTCAAGGTCTGTTTAGCAAGCATCCTCCTAGCCTTGATGTAATTTTCCTTCCATCTACTGACTGATTCTGCTCATTGACTATTGCAATAGTCCAGAAGAGTCTTCCTTACTGTTTTAACAAGTGTCAGAATAATTTTTTCTTTAACAGTATGAGCGTCATAATTTTACCTTTTTCTGAAAATTACTTTTTTTTTTTTTTTTTTTTTTTTTGAGACGGAGTTTCACTCTTGTTACCCAGGCTGGAGTGCAATGGCGCGATCTCGGCTCACCGCAACCTCCGCCTCCTGGGTTCAGGCAATTCTCCTGCCTCAACCTCCTGAGTAGCTGGGATTACAGGCACGCGCCACCATGCCTAGCTAATGTTTTGTATTTTTAGTAGAGACGGGGTTTCACCATGTTGACCAGGATGGTCTCGATCTCTTGACCTCGTGATCCACCCGCCTCAGCCTCCCAAAGTGCTGGGATTACAGGCTTGAGCCACCCACCACACCCGGCCTTTTTTTTTTTTTTTTTTTTTGAGATGGAGTTTTGCTCTTTTGCCCAGGCTGGAGTCCAATGGCATGATCTTAGCTCACTGCAACCTCTGCCTCCCAGGTTCAAGCGATTCTCCTGCCTCAGCCTCCCAAGTAGCTGAAATTACAGGCATGCGCCACCACACCCTGCTAATTTTTGTATTTTTAGTAGAGACAGGGTTTCTCCATGTTGGTCAGGCTGGTCTCAAACTCCTGACCTCAGGTGGTCTTCTCACCTCAGCCTCCCAAAGTGCTGGGATTACAGATGTGAGCCACTGCGCCTGTCTGAAAATTAACTTTTAGCAGATGAGCAGTGTTCCAGGCAGAGGACACCATAAGTGCAAAAGTCTGGAAACGAGGAAGAAACTACAGAGTTTGGAAAATTAAAACTGGGCCCCCAAGGCTGGACAGTAGAGTGAAGGGAATGTTGAGATATGAGACTGAAGAGGTAAGCAGGTGCCAGATAACGAAGGACCCCACAAACCACATTAAAAGAGTTTGGATCTTATCCACAGGGTGAGAAGAAGACATTAATGTGCTGTAAATAGAGAGCGCCATGATCAGAACTTTAGGAAATGTGGAGCACTCATTGAAGTAGTCAAGACCAGAGGCAGAGAGACTATTTAGAAGGTTACTGCATGAATAAGATGAAGCTCACGCAAAATAGGTAATACCCGTGGGACTGGAGGAAAGAAAGTACCTTTGAGAACTTTCAGGAGGCAAACAGACTTAATTGACTGGATGTGCCAACTTAGGTGTTGGGCTCCACGAGGACATCCAGATTTCTAATTTGGACCACTGGGTGGTGCCATTTAATGAGAAACAAAACAGGAAGAAGCACATTTGCCGGGAGGAGTGGAGGTGACAAACTTTAGACATAATGAGTTTGAGGTGCCCGTGGGGGCTCAAAATGAGATAATGCTGGGTTTAAATACAACAACAGCTTCAAAACCCATTGGCTGTGTACTGAGCAACACACTCTCTGGATTTCATCTGTAAAATGAGCTCTAGTCTTAAGGGGTTTTGTGATAATTAGTGAGCTCTATGGAAAACTTTTGAGCACAAGTAGAAGCCAAGACAAAGCCTTGATATTATTATTATTATTATTATTATTATTATTATTATTTGGGAGGCAGAGTCTCACTGAGCATGGTGGCTCACGCCTGTAATCCCAGCACTTTGGGAGGCTGAGGCAGGTGGATCACCTGAGGTTAGGAGTTCAAGACCAGCATGGCCAACATGGTGAAACCCCGTCTCTACAAAAATAGAAAAATTAGCTGGACATGATGGTGGGTGCCTGTAAGCCCAGCTACTCGGAAGGCTGAGGCATGAGAATTGCTTGAACACGGGAGACAGAGGTTGCAGTGAGCCGAGATCTCACCACTATACTGCAGCCTGGACGACAGAGTGAAACTCCATCTCAAAAAACAAAGAAGAAGAAGAAGAAGAAGAAGAAGAAGAGAGACAGAGTCTCACTATGTTGCCCAGGCTGGCCTCAACTCCTCAGTTCAAGCGATCCTCCCACCGTGGCCTCCCAAACTTGATTTTTTTGTTTGTTTGTTTTATTTTTATTATTTTGTGTAGCTTCTGATATATTATAACTCAAAAAGCCTTGTTTTTTTAAGGAGCACACTGTGTAGCGGAAAAGACAGACTTAAACAGGTCATTGAAATGTGGTTCTTGGCTGAACATTATTGCTGATGCCTATAATCTCAGTACTTCGGGAGGCTGAGTTAGGTGGATTGATTAAGTTCAAGAATTCAAGACCAGCCTGGGCAATATGGCAAAATTCCCTTTCTACGAAAAATACAAAATTAGCTGGGCATGGTGGCTCTCGCCTGCAGTTCCAGCTACTCATGGAGCTGAGGTGGGAGGATCACTTGGACCCAGGAGTTTAAGTCTGCAGTGAGCTGTGGTCACACCACTGCACTACTCCAACCTGGGTGACAGAGTAAGACCCTGTGTCAAAGAAGAAAGAAAGAAAGAGAGAAAATGTGGTTCTCCTAGAGGACTCTTCCTTTGAGCCTCTGCTCCTCCATCACATCCTGTCTTGCAGGATTGACCCTCACTTTCTATCCCTTCTCTATCTAACCATCTTCTTTTAGAGTCAGAGACTCACTCTGTCACCCAGGCCGAAGTGTAATGGCCTGATTATAGCTCATTGCAGCCTTGAACTCCTGGGTTAAGGTGATCCTCCTGCTTCAGCCTCTTCAGTAGCTAGGACTACAGGTATGTGCCCAGCTAATTTGTTTTTTGTGTGTGTGGAGATGGAGTCTCCCTCTGTTGCCCAGGCTAGTCTTGAACTCCTGGCCTCAAGCGAGCCTCCTGTGAGCCACCACAAAGGCCTATCTACTATCTCCTGGCCATTCCCTCACATTAATTTGTAAGCTCCCTGTTTTCAAGAACCTTTACGTCCGCTCTGTCTCACCCTGGCCACACCCTGGACCTAGCACCTAGAACTGTTATGTTTCTGAAAACTTCAATTTTCATACACTGGTTTCCACCACAACATCCTGTCTTTTTATATTCTGAATAAATCCTGGGGCCCATAGTGACCCAGTCAGGACATATAACACAATAGAAGAAACCCAGTCTAGTAACCAAAAACTAATTTAAATCTCTACTTAATTTATCAAGGAAACATCAGAGGCAGGGGAAAGGGCAGTGGAACAGGAGCACATTTTAATGGACAGCCCAACATGTTAAAATCCTCTCTCTCTGCCTAGGGTGGTGGCTTATGCCTGTAA